ACCCTTCAATGCCATTTGCAGTTTTCATCATCTGCCAATCACAGAAAACACAGATTTAGGATTTGTTGCAAGCTCAAGATAGTCAGTGATCCCCGTTCTCTCTGGAGGCGTTCTTGGTTTTTAATAGATGTACTGTTGGTCTGTTCTCAGCTGCTTCCTAAGTATTTTAGTCTGTTGAATAAAACCTGTAATGATTTGATCATTTGAATCATCAGGCTGCTTGTTTGATGTTACGCTCGCTCACCCTGACTTCCTGTTTGTAAATCCCCATCGTTGCGCTGATGTGAGAGTCTACTTTAGAAAAATGCTAAAAATATAGCAACATAACACTCCAGCTGGAGTTTTTATTAGACTGTGGTTATGTGGCTGCAGTAAAAATAAAGGAAGGCCTCTGAAGGTTCTGCATTTTTCCACAGGAACATAAAAAACTTTATTTAAAAGCTGCTTTTGCATCAGAGACAAGAATGACCTGTTCACACGGTGAAAAATTAAATAGAAATTCAGACATATTTGTATATTCTGAATCTCTATTTTTGTGTTCAGCATGGCAGGTGTCTGTAACCAGCTGCAGTTTGGAAAATATAAAAGTTATTTAGTATAAAAACATAATTTTGTTCACAACAAAAACAGAATTTTAGGAAATAATAAGGTCTTTATTACATAGAGCATTATTGCATTATGACCAGTCTATCATTGCATATGAAGACGGAGACCTTTATCTGTACAGCGATGAAATAAAGTCTGGAGTGGAGGATGAATAATTTGCTGTGCTCGCTGCCAGGAGCTGGTTTTCCTGCTGCTAAAACATGACTCACTGCACAGCCCTGAAAGAGTCTGAAACCAGATCGGACCAGATGCGGCTGCTTGGCTCAATCTACCTGTTGTATAACAGGAAGCATGTTAAAGGTACACTTTGTGAAGGATGGAGATGGAGAGACGTGGATGTTATTTCTGCCAGACTTCTCGTTTAACCTCGGAATCTCACAAATCTAAAGGAATGAGCGGAAAGGTCAGGAAGCTGCCTGGAATGTCACTGAGCATGTTGAACAGGACATTCCATCAGATGTTTTTTCTTAGGAAGGTTGAGTTTAACATGAGTGGAGGTGGGTGGAGCAACCTCAGAACCGTGGAAATAAAAAAATAATTCCACCATTTTTCCTCAAAGCTGCTCAGAATCTTTTAATATTCAGCTCAAACATGGATGCTTACATTGTTTTCCTTGTTTAGGGACACTGATTCTGATTTTAAGGGCTGATTTGTCTGCAGCTCTGACTTGCCGATACCAACACTGGCCACATTTGATTAATCTCAAAGAACTGCAATGAATAGAATGCAGATTTCTTAATTGTATAGTATTGTTTATAGCTAGCATGAGTTACCACTCAGCAATGGTGCATTCAGAACCTAGAAAAACTGAGTTTTAGGTTCAGATTCATGTTGAAACTTGGCCAATTCTAGTTTTTGGCACATCGCTTCTTGTATGTCATAAAATTAAATGTTATTGTTCAATTTAATCTTTTTTCACTAAAATAATTAAAACAAGTCACTTCTTTCAGATTAAGTCAGAAACTATCAACACGGTTTTGAAGCAGGTTATCTGCTCAGCTCATGTTACCATGGTGATCTAAGATGAAACCTAGCACAGCTAACATTTATTATCTGGTGCAGACATATAATAACTTGTAAAAGCATTAAGTTTGACAAACATCCTGCTTTTTTTTTTAAGTCTGTTGCCCTTAATGATTCAACAAAACTTGGCTTGTGTTTGGAATTGGCCTGATTTTAGCTCGACTGACTTAACTGGTGGTGAACCAGTTAGAAACTTTGGCGTAAATCAATAAAAAGTGCATGTAGCACTACATCACAACACATTTACTATGTGTGATTTTACGCTTACAAGGGGTAAAAAATCAAGTAAGAAGGTATTATCAGGAGAGGGAGATGTCCATTGGTTGGCAGCGGTGTTTCGGCGGATGACCCCCTGTAGAAAGCCACCACAGCTCAGCAGAACATCAGTGTAGCTTCTTCTGGAGAGAAGGACACTCAGAGAGAACATAGTTAACATCAAAGAAAATAATTCAATTGGAGAGAAGTGGTAGAAGAAAGTAGTCGAGTGTGGACAGTGGTCAGTGTGTCCTCCAGCAGTCTAAGCCTATAGCAGCATAACTACAGAGATAACTCTGGATAACCAAGCCTTTTAGATGGAGGCATGTTGGAGGCAGGCTAAGGGAGAGCCATCTTTACCGACAGGATTCTCCGTTGTACACTCCACCTCACCCCGTCCTAGGACAGTTCAAGAGCTGACTCCCACCCTCATGCTCACACATAAACCCACCCAACCCAAGGGTGCACAGGGTAAAGCGAGCCACCACCCCAGACCCCAAACCGACGGCCAGCTGCCACTCCCAGCCTCGGTCAGAGAGCTGAGAACAGAGGTCTCCCTCCACCTGCTCCAGAGGGTAGTTGTTGTAGAGGGCATTTAAAACGGGTATCGACCCTCAAAATATAAACTGGTGCATTTTTTATGTGCTGATTTTGAGGTCTGATAGTAAAGGGTTTATCAGGATAACTCTTTAAGTTTGTAATTTGTTCTAATTGTGGTTTTATAAAATAATTTCACTGCAGTTTGATTAGAAAAATCTTGATCAAGTTAACATGAAGTCCAGCATCATCTCCAGCTAAATCTTCTAGGAGTGGCACAAACGTGCATTTACCATATTTCTGCGTTCTGACTCAAAGCTTCTGTTAGCTGAGTCAAATATTGATTTACCAGCATGATTCCAATATGCAACGAGCAACCCTGTGTCTGATGTAGGCGATGCTAGCATCTACCATCTCTGACCTAAAGAGAGCTGAGTGGGTATCGATCAGCGTCTCTGTCGTTTCATTACGGCATCGTGATGCAAGTTTCCAGACAGAGCAGCCTGTGACGAGCCTCCGGCTGCAGAGCAGAGGGATGAAAGCATCATCCTGTTTTCAGTCTGCAGAGACAGCAGTGACGAACAGGAATGATGAGGCTGAGGATCCTATCGTTTGATGCTGTTAGAGGTTTTCCCTCCATCAGCACAAAGACTGCTGCCTCACCAGCTGCACGATTCTGTCCAGCTGTCCATCTCGGTCTCCTGCTTCCTGTCCCTTCATCTTTATACCTCAGTTGTTTTTTCATCTGCCATCTTTCTCTTGTTGTGGGTTTCTCTTCCTCATCTCTTTGCACTAATGTACTAATTTTATACGAAGCAACGTGTTCAAATACCTACACAGACACATCTAAAAATGCAGACTTGTTTGGAGGCATGAGTGCTGTTGTGGTCTAAATCCTGGATTCACAAAGGACAAACATTTGTGTTTTAGGTCATGAATCTGGTTGATTTGGTGTTATTATGCAGAAATGATCAGTGATACATAATTTTTGTAAACATTTTCTCATTTGATGGATAGCTCTAGTCTGACATCCACCAGAGAAAAGCAAACGTCTTGTTTCTGTCGTCTTCATGTTTTTGATCCCTCCGATTGTTTTTGCGTCTGTGGCTCTGGCTGATGCTTCAGCCGTCACGTTCGCCTTCGTTTGGTCAGCAGCTGGGTTTTATCCCCCGCTGACGGTCGGCATTACGTTTGGAAACACGGACGCTGTCCAGCCCAGGGTTTTCCCTTCCATCCGTCTAAAGGAGGGATTATCCGTGATGCTGCTGAGTCTGTTTGAGAAGGCCAAGCTGGCGGTCCTGACTGTGTTTTATCATCCTGACCTTCGGTCGTCTCAGTCAGGTGATGTAATCACAAACATGGTCGGCTCTGAGGATCAGAAAATGATTTGCTTGTGTAGCTAGATAACCCTCTGCTAGGACATGGCTTCCCTGTAACTCAGATACCATCTCGGTTTTGTTATTAGGATCTGCTTTATGCATAAAATCTCCAATTGGATCCGTTATGTAAACGTCCTGGGTCTCTTCCTGTTGCTGCTGCTGAAACCTCAGGCCTCTACTTACTTTTAATAACTTCCTGATTCAAATCTAATGTTTTAGATTTGAATCAGGAAGTTGTTCATCTGCTGAACCCAGTGTCTGTATAAATGAACTGGTTGAAACCAGTGACTGTATAAATTACTGGTTTAAACCAGTAATTTATACAGTCACTGGTGGGTTCACACCTAATCTAAATGCAGATACGTTTCACCAACCAGTTCATTTATATATATATATAATTATATATATATATATATATATATATATATATATATATATATATATAAATGAACTGGTTGGAACCAGTGACTGTATAAATTACTGGTTTAAACCAGTATAAATGAACTGGTTGAAACCAGTGACTGTATAAATGAACTGGAATTGGCCCATCTGCTGAAAAATTGTTGATTTTTACACGAGAGCAAAAACTCTCAGGTCTCTCATAAGAGCTTTTAGGTCTATATAAAGTAGATAATATGTGAAATCTTTAAAAGACATGGAAGCAGAATAAATGGCACAACCCTGAAGCGCTGGTGTGAACCCAGTGCTCCCAGTGAGCTCCCTGGCTTCTGTCACAGTTAGATAAGCCCCGGTCTGCGTCTGTGCCTGGCCCAGCTTTCAGTTTAAGTCACGCCATCACATTTTTTGTGTTTGCTTTCAACCCGAGCCAAAGACTTAGCGATGTTAATTCCCTCTAATTGGAGAAATCTTACTCCCAGCCTAAGTGCGGCCCTTATTGCCGTCATATGACCTGCACACATGGCCTTTTGTGCACTGCCCTCATTGTCTAAGCAACTGAACATTTTGGGTGTATTTGTTTTTTTAGGATATACATTTCAGAAAAAGTCCTGGAGTTTAGAGAATTACAGTAAATATCGTACAAATGCAATCAACTCAAATAATGTAGTAAATATAGAGAATTTGTCATTTTTATTGTAACAGAAATGAGATGGAGATTGGAGGTTCTACTTGTCTGATACCGACGCTGATTTACCATGCATCCCTAAAATAAACCCATTTATTCCTCCTGTGTGTTTGCAGCTATCATGTATGTGATGGGAGCACTGGGCCCCGCAGCCGGGTACCTGCTGGGAGGAGTCCTCATCGGCTTCTACGTAGACCCAAAGACTGCCGTCAACATCGACCAGAGCGATCCTCGCTTCATCGGCAACTGGTGAGACCCAATCAGGCTGCTTTCCTGCTCACACCACCCATTCAATCCACAACAGCCACAACCTTTTACAGTTTTGTGTCAGTTGCATTTTATTTGAACATTACATCAGTTTTGTGTAGGTGACTAACTCTTGGTTCTACCAGAGTTTTTATGCTGAATTAATTTTATTTCTACAGAAATATGCATGATTTACCTGAGAATTTCTTTAAGTTTGTTTTCCTTAATGAGCACTAAACCACAAACTGTTCTTGTTGTTATTCAGATTCTATCTGCTTATATCTCACCTCCGTCTGGATGCAGGATGTGATTAGTCATCGATTTAGAGCCTTTAGTGATGTCGTCCGACAGCCTAACCATGACTCACCAGGAAGCAGCCGTGGGCTTGTAGGTGATGATCGCAGGAAGATGCTGCATGAATGCAGCGGCTTACTCATTTATTTGCACAATAATCCGGCACCCAGAGACTGAGTCCAGATGGGTTTTCACACCTGGTATCAACATGGTTCCTGATGTTCCTGGGTTCACACCTAATCTAAATGCAGATACGTTTCACACTCGCGGGTCTTTGACTGTTCCTGCAAAATCCGCTCGTACATTTAGTGATCCGTAAAAATGAAAGCACACCGTTTCAGCCGCTTGAGTTGGATCAACAGGCTCTTTCTACTATAACCTACTATAATCTATGGGCTACAAAGGGTTAAAGGCTTTAATGTAGAACAGCTATTACTCTTTTATTTGCTTTGAGAACCGTACAGCAGCCAGTATTTTCCCTGCATGCACTAAAGACGTTGGTGTACAGTAATCTGGCAACTTTAGATTTGTACTCAGTTGTTTAATTTATTGAGATCCGTTTTACAAATAAACTCTTCCAGGGGGAGAAATGGGAACTACGAGCAGCTCGACTCGTGTAAAACCAATGGTTTTCCATGTACTCTGCGTGTTTAAGGTGGAGCGGGTTTCTGCTGTGCGCCGTGGCCATGCTGCTGGTCATATTCCCTATGTTCACCTTCCCCAAGAAGCTGCCTCCTCGACACAAGAAGAAGAAGAGGAGGAAAAAGCTGAGCCTGGATGACCTGTCGAGCGACGACGACGTTCTCAAGGAGAAGAGCAACAACAAGAACCAGACGGTCACCTCGGCCATGGGCTTCGGGAAGGACATCAAAGGTAACGCTTCCCTGACTGGAAAACGGCTCAGGAGTCGCTTTGGAAGATTTTAATCTAGAGAGAATTTTTAGTCTTGATTTGGCTTTCTTCCATTAGGATTATTTGGCTATGTGTTCATATGTTTCATCCTAAACTCTTCATATCATGATTCATGTTGCAAGTGTGCAAAGTTTGTTTCTGAAGTAAGTAAAGTTCAGAGGAATGAGCTGGTGGTTCTGACACAAATCCAGTTTAAAATTACCATCCTGCAGATTTACCCAAAGCAGCAGTGAGGATCCTCAGCAACGTCACCTTCCTCTTCGTCAGCCTCTCCTACACCGCAGAGAGCGCCATCGTCACCGCCTTCATCACTTTCATCCCCAAGTTCATCGAGTCCCAGTTTGGGATCCCGGCCTCCAACGCCAGCATCTACACCGGTGAGCTGGAGCGCCGCTCTGTCATACGCTCCTGCTTATTTTTTTATAAAATGCTCCAATTCTAGAGCATTTAGAGCTTTACAAGGACAGAGCTGGCAACGTTTCTGCAGCAGACCGGAATAACGGGAAGCGAAGCTGGAGCAGCCCGGAGCTGCAAGTCAGCATTAATATTAAAGGATCTGCTGCTCTTCAGGTCACACGGGAGGCTGAACAGGAACAGTTAGTGGCCTACACACAAAATATTTATAAAAAAATACCCAAATCCAAGCACAGTCATGCTCTAAACGCACTCGAATCACTCACGGATGCATCTGCATGCTTTATTAGTGAAAACACGGAAAAAAACACGGAATTCTCCACATGTTGGCAGGATAACAAGATGGTATTTTACATGATGTTGCATCATTTTCAATAACCCAGCAGCTGTCTACTAATCTTTCACAGCTTTTTTTTTTCTTTTTTGTGAACATCTTTAAGAAACTTCAAAATAAAAGCATTTTAGTACTTTAGAGGAAATTTAAATGATAAATAAGCAATAATCTTTTTTATTTTATGCTTTTTCCTGTCACAAAGACGTTTAAGTGCAGTTTCATTCTTTATTTCCTTGTTTTAAATATTTTAACGAACTTATATGGTTCTAAATCAGATAAATTTTCATTTTACCTGTAAAGTTGTTTTTTTCTTTGCTTTAATAAAAATCTAATATGAACTTTATTTTGAAGGGTTCAGTCAGTTTTACGGCTCTAAGTGAATTTTAAAAAAAATGTTTTGAGATGTTAAATAAAATAATTTAAACTAAGATAACAATGGCTGAAGCTGCGAGTTCACCGTTCACTTCTGTGTAAAAGAATAAAATCACTTATGAGTAACTTTTAAAGTCAAAAATCAAAACAAACGATTAAATCTGCACTTACTGTCGTGTGGACTCTTGTGTTTCTGATGAGGAGGAAAACAAGTGTGTTGTTTTGGACTACACACAGAAAAGCTGCAGAAATCGTCAAGTTTTTAAAAGTTATAAAATAAATGTTTTAAAACTAATTTATGCATGAATTAAAAATAATTTATATTTAATTTATTTATAGAAAACGTTTGTGTTTGTGGAGTAGCGTGTTTGCATCAACTAAAATTAAATATAATTATTCTGAAAGAAAAGATTAAAACAGATCATTTTCAGCTGACCTTTGACCCCTTTTTTGGGTGTTTTTATGTCCTCTGTAGCAACAAGAGGCTGTGTTGTTGTTGTTGTTGTTGTTAGAGATTTTGTGTGTTTCTGACCAGGCGGATGTTTCACCTCCAGGCAGATCTGTTGTTTTACTCATGCTTTACTCTTAGTCGTCAGCCTCGTCTCAAACACAGAAAAGATGTTATTCAGCCACAATCTCTGAGAATATCGTTGTTTAACGCTGCTGATTGTTTATCTTACAAATTTCTGTGGATTTACTGAATATTTGATGAGCAACGACTGATGTGTTTATTGTGATAATAATGAAAGTCAGGAAGACGAAAGGCTGCAACGCCGTTTCTGTCTGGGTTAGAGGCTCCACCGCCTTCATGGCTGCCCACTCGCTCAATGTTTGCTGTCATGGTAATGCAAGGCTGCTGGGGGCGGCCGCCGTTGTGATCGCTGCGTTTTCCATCTGATTTCATGTTGTTTGAAGACAACAAGGGAGAGAGACCGAGGAAAATCAAATAAAATACTTTTAGTTTGTAAAACTCGGATTAAAGAAAGAAGAATGACAGAAGGAGCTCTGCTGCATTCAGAGTTCGTGTGCTGAAAGTAAAACAGACATAAACATCCTCACATTCCAGAAAATTTGGATTTGACGGTCTGATGGTTTGGGTTAAAGCCTGCATTTAAAATATAAAATGATGATTTTATCATTTCCTAAAGCAATGCACATCAGTCACAGCTTCTCTAGTGAATGGTTTAACTAACTGCTGTTTTTATCGTTGACATTACAAAAATAGTTCTTACTCCTGAGCAGAAACAGTCTGCTGTCAGCATGACTAATCCGAGCTTTAATTAGAAACCTTCCTACTTTTAGTTCTGGTCCATAAAAGTCTTTTTACTTTTTAATCACTTTTAGTTTTCATTTTGCAGATGAAAAAGTGATTCATATACAGGAAGAATAGTTCAATTCAAGGAGTTTGTAGCTGGTTTTATGCCTCTAAATGGCTTTATTAAAGCCGTATGTTAGCTCTATGTGTTTATTGTGATTTGTTATTGAGTAATACGAGTGTGTCTCCTCCCTCAGGTGTCATCATCGTGCCTAGTGCTGGCGTGGGCATCGTTCTGGGCGGTTACATCATTAAGAAGCTGAAGCTGGGAGCTCGAGAGTCGGCCAAGCTGGCCATGATCTGCAGCGGCGTGTCCCTGCTCTGCTTCTCCACGCTCTTCATCGTGGGCTGCGAGAGCATCAACCTCGGAGGAATCAACATTCCCTACACCACCGGGTGAGGAGAGACCGAGGGCTGTCACGCATCACTGGTGCTCAGGAAGTCATCGCAGAGCAGAAGACGTCTGTTTCTTTACGTCTGAATTTATAATCCATTCTGGGTCAGGAAAGTGAAAGGGAGGATGGAAAAAGGGATGAAAGAATGGAGGAGAGAGATGAACGATGAACTGTGAGGGAGGAGTTAAAACGCACTTCCTGCTACGTCTTTTTTAGTCCACTGAAGTCACTGTCGGTTTACTTGTTGGCACCTTGCTAGAGGAGCCTGTCCAGTTTCATGCCAGAAAAAGTTGCCTTTACCGAGTAAATCAGGTGCATAACACATGGTACAATCATTTATCCGAAACTGTTAGTTGTGTGGCTGCCTCCACGGCACGTGCACACCCCTAAACATCCAGTAATAATAATAAGTCTCTTATTGGAAACACTAAATCTCATCTCCAGCAAACGTTTGTGTTGGGAGGAGATGTCAGATGCTTCTTAGACGTAAACTCATGCTGAGGAAATTGTTTTAGGACTACAGATATGTTAATCACAGAAGCGGCTAATCGCTGAGATGTTCCTCAAAACTCCAAAGCGGGATTACTTTATCAAATACATGGAAGACTCAAAATTCCCGACTTGCTTTCCTGCTGAAGTGTTTTCATGCGGGTGTGAGAAGATGCACGTGGGGTCTGTTTGACCTTTTTAGCTCCGCTTTGCACAAACATGACATCTTTGCACATGGGGATGTTTCACTCACACCCTTGTTTCTGTGGAGGTTTGCTCTCGCAGTAGAAATTAACAAAAGAAAAAGATTTGTCGTATTAAATCCAAATTCAATTTTTTTTAAATCAAGTTTAAACTCTCCCACTCCTCTGCATTAGATTGCAGTTTGATTATTTTCTACGTAAAGCGTGTGGAATCGCTTCGTCCTCCCTCCTCCTAATGTCCTCACTCGTGTTGAAAACCTCCACATCCTCTGCAGGAACGAGCGCATCGGGGTGGGGGGCACGCCTACACATGCTTTCGACATTAGGCACAGCCTGGTGGTGGAATGTCTACAAAATAAAGGTGAAGATGCTGGTATGCATTTCTGTGCTGCCGGTTATTATTAAACCTCCTTTCCTGTTTAGCTCCACCTGATGTTCCTCCTTAGCATTATTTTGTCGTTAGTACGAGTCAGTAGAGGCTCGGTTCAGAGCGGTCCACAAGCCAAGTAGTGTGCTCCTGAGTGAAACCATAAAATAGTCTTTTATGTCTTTGTGTGGGACAGAAGCCACCAGAAGTCCGCTGGTGCACCAGATCTCACTCGGCCTCCTACATTAATGTAGACCTTGGCCTCAACACCTTTTTCTGATGTGTGCAAAAACCATCGACATATATACAAAAACACACAATTCACCCTGACTAAATAATGAATATATTCAGTAAAATTTTCCATATTTTTTTTTACATTGAACAGAAACCTTTTCATTATTAAAATGTCAAAAAAGTTAAACAAATTCAATGAAAGTTATTTCAGTTTCACACTGTGTCACATGGTGTTTAATGACAGAAAGCAAACAAACAGAATTATTATTTTAAAACCAATTTGTTATTTTTAAGCTATAAATATCAGTTTGTGGATGCAGGAAATCACGAGATGCTTAACTAAACCAGTCTTCTCTTTCATTTTAACTGAGGGCTGAGAGTTCCTGGTTTGGTTTTTAGTCCTGAAATTGTAATGAAGTCAGTATTATGAGGGAGGATTGTGTTTGGGTTGAATGGCTCTGACAGTAAGAGTCCGGGTTGGTGTTCTGCAGTGTCAAGGTTCAAGTCCAACAGCTGGATTTTATCATTTTGAAAAATCAGAAGTTAGGAAACTTAATAATCTGATGAAAGTCAAAGGTGAAAATTACTGATAGACTTTAAAACTATGTTTATAAGAACTTGAAACGTCTGTAGTAGAAACAGAAAGAGCTCTGATGAGTGCTTCGTCTTTTTATGAATCAGAAATGACCTAGGCTATAGTCAGTGGCTAGCTAGGTCACACTGTGTTGGTTTTAGTTTTTGGCCAACTTGAGAGTTTTTTGTCCACTTCAGTAAAATCCCAGCTTGGCACCATTCCAACCAGTATAGGCCCCCCACATTGACATGTCTGAAGCTCAGGGAGGGAATTGGGCCCTCTCCCTGCCCCTTCCCAGGATAGTCACAATGCAGGATTTGAACCCGTTGCTCCAAAACTGATGATTTACAAACGTGAACAAGCCCACTGCACCACCAGAACCCTCCACACTAGAAGATGTTCTGGTGGGACATTTGAACTTGTCCCTTTTAGCTTTTGTATGGAAAAGGTGAACAGTGATAAGCTCTGAAGCTCCAGAGCTTCTCCTGGGATTGAAAAAGCTGAAACTTCTGATGTTTATGAATCAGCGGCGAAGAATCCTGAATCCAGAGTCATTAAAAAGGTTATCTACAGTTTATTTTCTAAGAGTTTTACCTCAAAGCTGTCAGATCTGGACATCTGAGGAGCTCAGAGCGTTAGCTCCGTCTGTAAGGATGAGGGGTCAGAGCTCCATTCCAGATTAAAACAAACTCATCTTAGACTTTATGTAAATTCTTTAAACCACGAAAAGCCCTAAAATACACGTGAAAGTTCTCTAGCAGTCATTTACTTGTGCACACACTCAGCACCCCTGTGGCTAAAGCAGAGGAAACACGCGTTAGCATCTGTTGGTGTGAAGGGTTCTGGTGGCGCAGTGGGATTGTTTGTGTTCAAAACTGGTTCAAATCCTGCTTGTGACTGACCGGACCTGGATCCAAGCAACTGTCCTGGAGAGTGTTGGGGCGGGGGCTTTTGCTGAAGTGGACCAGACACTGACTTGGACAGTTACTAAGTTACTTGGCCATAGAAGTGACTTATTAAGTAACTTAAGCCAACTTAGTGAGCCCTAATAACTTTGGCCATTTAAGTGGCCTAGCTAGCTCATTCTTTAAAAACCTACTAGAACCAACACTGTCCCAGGTAGCTGAGTGAGTTAGGCGCTGGATTGGTGTGTTGAGGGTTCAGAGTTCAAATCCAGGTGAGAAACATCACTTTAGAACTTTTGTGAATTCATGACATCAAAAGCTCTAAAAACATGTATCAAGTGTCTGCTTGTGTAGTTCGTTCTGCTAGGTGTGGGCTTTGCACTGTGGAGGATGTGAGTTTAAACCTTCTATCAGCCTTTTGGGTACAAACACCAGAAACGGCCAGTCTAAACGTCCCACCAGAACAGTTCAGTGTGAAGGGTGATGGTGGCCAGGTGGGATTCATGTTAGGAAGTCGCCAGCAACTGGTTTGAATCCCGCTCAGGTGTGTTTCCAGGGAGTGGCCTGGGGTGGCTCATGCAAGCCCACTGAGCTCCTTTTCCATTCATTGTCCACCAAAGTCGGCATTTTAAACCTTAAACAGTAGATGGCAGCATTTTTGCTTGATCATGGTCCCATTTCCACTCCACTCCAGTAGGTGGCGATGGTGCACCAACAAGTGGAGTGCTATCTACAACAATTCCGCTTGAGGAAGAAGAAAGATGTGGTCTTCGCACAATGTGGCCCTAAAAAGCTCAATAGAATGAAAACAAACAATAATTTTGTGAGGGGTGACACCCCACCATCCTCAAAAAAGGAAAACCAACTAAATGAGCCTAATTAAAGGTTGTTTTAGTGAGTTTTTAAGCGCCACATTGTGCCAAGACCACATTTTTCTTCTTCCTCAAGCAGAATTGTGGTAGATAGCACTCCACTTGTTGGTGCACCATCGCCACCTACTGGAGTGGAGTGGGAATGGGACCATGTTTTAATTACTAATTATCTCAATATGAAATGGTAAATGGCCTGTATTTGAGTCCTGGAACCCCCAACGTGCTTTACAACACAATCAGTGTAGCCACAGCTGCCCTGGGGCTCACCGACAAGTAATCGGGCTCCACCGGTCGCTCCGACCACCACTAGCAGACATAATTAAAGGTCCCATTAGTCATCACACTAGTGAAGGTCATCTGCATGTGACCCATCCCTGTGGGGAGCGTTGAGCTGCAGCTGCTCTCAGGAACTATTTGGTGATTTAACCTAAGTCCCAGTCTCAGGGTGGACACTCTACCTCTAGTAAGGTACTACCATGGCCAAGTAACTTAGTAACTGTAAGTTACTGTTTGGTCCACTTCAGTAAAATCCCAGCTTGACACAAATCCAATCAGTATAGGATTGAACCCTGAATCTTCTGCTCTCCAACGTAACACCTTACAGCCTGAGCTACCAGACTCAGGATGACCTGGTCGCTGAGTTCCTCCAGATCCTACAAAGTCTGACTGGAGGTTTGTGGTAAAACCCACTGAAACTCTTAGAGGAATAAAGATTTTGTCAAACTGAATTAAAAGTTCTGTTTTATAAAGTTTCACCTAACCTTGTCAGTAACGTGGGATTTTGGACTTTTACTCAGTTGCTGATTCATAAAACTCAGAAATTCCAAATATTTTCCAAGACAGGTTGGACAGAGACAGTAGATGGCTCTGTGATGTTCATGCTGATGTTCTGGTGAAGTAAAGTTGTTTTAAGGTGTTGGACAATCTTGCTCTATGTGCTGTTTTTTTAGCTTGGACCCCTCCCCACAAAAAGCCTCTGCACAGCCAGCTCCTCTGCTCATAACAAGAACACAAACCTTTGCATGAATCTAAAAACTCAACATTTCTTTGCGTCGGGCGTGTTTTAACACATCCTTCCTGGCTGTTTTCGACTCCTGGAGTCAGCTGGAGCTCTAAAAGCTTCAACCAGAGGCAGCTCTCTGCTGACAACAGCTTTGACCTTTCTCCCTGCAGTGGAGGGTTTTATTTTTTATCTGCTCATCTGTGAAGCCAGAGCTAGTGTGTGTGCAGATCAGCGAGGGATAACGCCTAATGAGAGCGTAAACGAAGGCGTTTTCTTTTGGACGCAGCTTCCCTGAGAGTGATTACACGGCAGCGATGGAGAGAGTCCAAGGACAGCTTGGAGGAGAGGATCTCTGGCTCGCCGCCGCTCCGTTCACGTGTTTCCCCCGCTGGTTCTGCTTCTATCGCCTCTCTGTCGTCTGTCCTCTTCTCTCTCCATCCTCCAGCTCCGTTTTATTGCTTAGGTTTCTGGAACCAGGCAGTTAGAAGAAGTTTGTGCAGGAAAAGAGCGTGTCCTTATGAACACGTTTTTTTATTCCAGACCCACGCTCACCATGACGCAGAGGAACCTGACAGGAGGCTGTAACGTGAACTGTGGATGTAAAATCCACGAATACGCTCCGGTCTGCGGTTCCGACGGCATCACGTACTTTAACCCCTGCCTGGCCGGCTGCAACAGCGTGGCCAACGACAGCAACGGGGTAAGAAAAACATATTTTAAAAAATCACTTTTACTGATTTCTTGTAAAAACAAAATGCTTTGATGTGTAAAAAAATGGATTTTACTCATTTTAACAAAATCTAAACATGCAGAAGCTACGATTATCCGGCAGTTTTTTTAATTTCATTCTAATTAATGATCAAAATGATTTGAACATTTAAGAGAAACTGTGAAAACGATTTTCAGTCATTAAATGACAAAACAGAAAGTTAATATTTTATTAATAAAGGTGGCATCAAGGGTCAGATTCCTCGTTCAGTCTCAAAACTTCATTCGTTCCTCATTTTTTAAAGATCCTCGTGTTATTTTTATTTTTTTGAGTGGCCCTAATGTGTGTGTGTGTGTGTGTGTGTGTGTGTGTGTGTGTGTGTGTGTGTGTGTGTGTGTGTGTGTGTCCAGGTCCGTAACTACTCAGGCTGCGCCTGCGTCCAAAGTCGGCAGGTCATAACGCCGTCGTCCGGCAGCCAAGGCAGCAACCAGCTGCAGCTCGTCATCGTCAAAACCTACCTAAACGAGAACGGCTACGCCGTGTCAGGGAAGTGCGACCGCACCTGCAACACCCTCATCCCGTTCCTCATCTTCCTCTTCATCGTCACGCTCATCACCGCCTGCGCGCAGCCCTCCGCCATCATCGTCACCCTCAGGTAGGAGACGGCAGCGCCGGGCCTGCAGCCTCACTGGTCTGCTCGGGTGTTTCATGTGTTCACCTGTGTTTGCAGGTCTGTTGCGGAGCAGGAGCGGCCGTTCGCTCTGGGAATGCAGTTCGTTCTTCTCAGGACTCTCGGTGAGTAGAACCGGAGAAAACCGCTGTTCTGCTGGTGACGGCACGTCTGGGACGTGTGAGCAGGATGAATAAAAAAGCTAAAGCTGGTCTGCTGCTTGAAGCACCGAGAATGTCAGGATTAGAAGAAGTGATGCATTTAGAAGAATATTTCATTTCATCTTCTCTTTCTTCCTGCTTCCAGCCTACATCCCGACTCCTATTTACTTTGGCGCCGTCATCGACACCACCTGCATGTTGTGGCAGCAGGACTGCGGCGTGCATGGCTCCTGCTGGGAGTATGACGTCACCTCCCTGCGCTTCGTCTACTTTGGCCTGGCCGCCAGCCTCAAGTTCCTCGGCTTCCTCTTCATCTTCCTCACCTGGTACTCCATCAAGTACAAGGAGGAGCGGGTGGAGCGATGGCTGAAGCGCCACCTGTCGCCCGTCGACACCGTGGGGAGCCTCGTCTGCCACCCGGGCGGCCACAAAGGCCACGCCCGCACCCGCTCCTGCCCTGTCAACATCCCCCGAAGCGACCCCAACGCGCTGCCCGCCAACGCTCTGCCTCGCGCCCTCAACCGCGGCGTCAGCACCCAGAGTTGCCCTGGTAACGAGTTAAAGGCAATAACTCCTCCTCCTCCTGCAGCTTCCCCTGCAGCTTCACCCGCCCCCACCCCGGCCCGATCTCTGGAACACGTGCCAGTCCGAGTTTGAACGAGAAGAACCACTAACGCTCCCGTCTGGGTCAAAACCATCCACCGGAGAACCGGATTTAGTCAGGAACTCGTTTGGGAACCAGAGTGCTGAAAGCCGTTTATGTTGTGATCCATCAGCTGGTGCAGCGAGCAGACAGAAGCTCTGTGCTCCTCACCCACGTCACCCCGGCAACGTGCCTTCTGTCACCACAGTCCTCACCCCGGAAAAGCCCGCTTCACCCCCCTCCCCTCCTTTATCAGCTCTAACGGAACGATAACCTCTAGAAACGTGATTCTCACTGATTAAACTGATTTTAAACTCCTGGAATTAATCCAAGTGAACAACGAGTCACTGGGTTAAGCTGCTCGGTGCTCACGGGTCACATTCCTGCTCTGACGAAGCGACACGCGGGATCCCCGCTGGTAGTCGGATTGTTGGGATGTTGCCGGTTCCATACAATGCATCCATACATCGTAGGACTGCCCTCCCTCCCCATCAAGCAGATAGGACATTTTTCATTCCTGCTCTAACTTTTCAACAGGATTCCTTCAAAATCAAATAAAAAAGTAAACGAAAGAGCTGGAAGGAAAATCTCAGACGGGGAATTCTGAGACGGAAAAGCAACTTTTGCGTCTGTGCGACCCATCGTCTCCTCGTCTTCCTCACCTGTGAGGTGGGGTCAGAATTTCTGCATCGCTTGTGACGACGTCGAGCTCAGAAATCGTGTTTTTGTTTTTCCACAATTCAGATAAAAAGATGAGAATTAAAAGTGTGAAACGAAGTTTTCACTCAGTGAACTGCTTCAAACACGTCTGATTCATCAAAAATCTGTTTTCACGCATGAATCATTTTTAACATAAGTCACAAAATCCACCGTTTGATGAGCGAAGCGTCACATCTCTCTTTGATTTTTGCATCTAATTATTTGGTCATTTATAATTATTTAAATCAGGCTGGTTTTTAAAACCCTCTTAGCTAAAGCCGAACTCGTGATGAATCATTCCTGTTACATTTATTTGTTTTTAGGTTTAGAAAAAACTCAGATTAGTCATAAAACAGACTTTTTTACAGATGTTCTTGTGCACAGATACAGCTGCTGGGTGGGTTTTACATTCATGCATCAAAAATACAATCATTTCACTCAGAATTAAACTTTTTCTGAACCTGAAGTAGATTTTGAGTTCATATAAATAAAAGCCTAAATATCCAAACTTTACTTGATGTGCAGCTAATTTCTTTTTATTCCAGACTCTAATATTTGACTTTAATCTAAAATTAATATTTCTAAACTTTTCTCTTAAAATTTTAACTTAAATGACTATTTAAGGTGTGTTTTAGGTAAATTATTACATTTAAATTCATAAAATGTTTAAATATTTAGATATTTTAAAATCCAACACTTTCAACCCTATAAAGAAATGTCCTAAAAACATATTTTTGTTATTTAGTTTTTCTGTTTTTAACCCTGGTTCCATCTTGTTTATAGTTTTTTGTTTATCCTAAAACTAACAGGATCCGTTTTCTTCACTTTACTTTAAAAATTGACCAAAGCTAATAAATACTTTATGCATAACCTTTGTTTTTAAGATTTTGTTAAAATATTCATTTTAACTGTGGCGACTTTTACTTACTTTTCTCTAAACTTATCCTATCCTCGGCTGCTGTTAAGGTACTTTCATCCTAAAATAAGAGAATTTCAGACTACATAAATCTACATTTTCATACTTCAGTTTCACAAAGTGTTACTTTTATCTTTTTATTTTATGGGTTGAGTTGATTTCTGGTGTTTCTGAGCCGTAAAAACAGGATTGTTGTGTTTATTAGAGCTGCTGCACCACAGCTGTTGTTACAAATCCCTCATTTGCACTTTCGTGTTGTTATATTTTATTCTGAATATCAACTAAACTACTTCTGTCTTTTTAAAGCAGCAGTTAGCTCTCTGGCGACACCTGCTGGACCGACGAGGAACAGCATGTAGGAAAAGAGACAAAAACAACCAAAAACGTGTTTTTAGGTTTGCACTCTCAGTATTTTTCATTTGAGAGACACCTGAATAAATCTGCTTTATCTGTATGAAACTTCTCTTTAAAAGAACTCGTTTAGTTTTATTTTCAGCCCTAAAAGCAGAATCTACACATATAAAGTGTTCTGTTCTTGTTTTCTGCAAATAAAAAGTTTCAGTAGTTAAAAATGATTCAATAAGCATTTAAAAGAAATAAAACTACAAGATTTTTTTGTTTTTATTATAAAAACAAAGTTTCTCAACACCGAAGCAGTCTTTCAGTTTAATATTTAATCACAAAATAATTAGACTATCAGACATTCTATAAATAATAAGTTGTGAAAATATTTGCACTTTGAGCTCAGTATTGAACACGATTTCTGTTTGTGATTTGTGTTGATTTTAAATGATTTAGGGCTAAACTGAACCAGTAAAGATGGTGAAATCTTCATAAATCCTCTGAGGTTTTGTGAAAATATTAGTTTATCAAACACCTTGTTGAAAAGGTTTGACCTGCTGAGTATTTGCTTGATTTTCTTTTTATCTTTAATCCAAATGTGAAAATTTTTCAAAAACAAAACTCATCGACACTGATTTCTTGTTCCATGAAGTTATTTTTGTTTCTGAAGGATTGATTATTTTTGTCTGAGTTGAGCCAAATGTTGTGAAACTGGTTAAAATCTGGTTTCTACTTCCAGACAGACTTCTGCCGTATGATTTCAGAGGTTTGAATCAACTGTTCTGTTTTGGTTCAGAGGAAATAAATGAGATGCTTCTGCTCCTGGACGCAGGTCAGAGGTCACGTTTGTGCTGCAGAGAAAAGCTGAAACATTGTCAGTGATTTCCTCGTTTCTGTGTAAAGACAGCAAAGAATCAAACGTGATGCATTTAATACTAAACACGATAAAGACAGTAGAATAAAGTAGAAAACATTCCAACTTCATGTCAAACAGAAATCCTCTTTCGTGTGTCGTTTCATGCAATAATCATGTGACTGATTCAGGATCGGTACGAGCTCCTTCAGGCAGATTTAGGGTAGCGGTTTACTTTTTGAAATCAGTATTATATTTATTTAAAACTGGAAAAGCTGCCCTGATGGAGGCTAAACATAGATTTGTGGTTTACAGCTGCCTTGAGTTCTTGACTTCTGTCAAATAGAAAAAGTGACAAAAGAATAAAACTGAGTTACAAAAAGTGTTTTTCTTTCTGGTGTTTTCATATAAAAGCACAGAATGGGTCTGTTCTTTTAGTTTGTGTTTTGGTTTAACTACGGGCTGTGGCACTGTTGTAAGGTCACAGGTTTGAATCCCATCTGAAGCATTCTGCAGCATGTCCTCCCTGTTTGAGACTGTCCCTGTGGCGGACTGAAGACATGTCCAGGGTGCGCCCCGCCTCTTGCATGATGGAGCACGAGCTCCTCACAACCCTGTTTGAGCAGGGGTTGATTAATGTGTCAATACTTTTATATAAGAACTGTTGAAGGTGAATTCAGCAATATTTAAAGTCACATCTCAGGGCCAACTTTAGAAAAATCTCAGAGTGAGGCGAGGGGTTAAACCGGGTACCAATGAGACATGCCGAAGAGCATTAGGTCTGGGGAAAATGGCATAGTCTAGCAGTGAAATCCCAGTTTTTGCCGTTTTGTGAGGTAATTAGGATGATGCAAAGGCTCCAATTTGATTTGATGACTATAATAAATTCTATAAGAGAGAATTAAAGTGATATTGAGGCAGATTTTATTTTTCAGAGGCAAAATAGATGCTGTAACAAATGTCTGGTAAAAACTATCGACATAATATACGGGTAAAAATATATAAATGGGTAAAAACCCATAATGTTAATTATTAGCAAAGCACGCGTCAGACAGCTCCTCATCTCCCCTTGTGTTGTTAGACCCTATCGCCACTGGCGGGCGTTGAGACCCCTCATTCAAACTCCGTTTGCAGCACAGTAGCTAGCTGGGTTCAGCACTGACCTCACACGACCGTCGAGTTTAAGTATTAAATAAATATAATAGTAATTGTGCTTTTGGATGAAGAATAAGAGAACGTCAGAGCGAGTTCCCATGTTGCCAGCACCACAAGTGCCGTGGAAGTTCAATTTTAAATTGACCTGATAATGAGCGAGATCAGACTGGTGCCCTCCTGTGGTGAAAAACTAGAACCTGACTCTGACCAATTGTGTCAGTAAAGCTAGAAAAATTATCCTGCGAATAAAGAAAAAGGAGAAATGCACTTTTGAAGTTAGTTAATAAAAACTCTTTCTGTTAATTATTTCAAAATAAAATGCTACAACGTTTTGGTGTTAGCCACCGGATCTTGCTCTTTTAGCTAAAAACGCAATTCAATTTATATTTATTTAACAGTGTTAACCCGAATGGTTGTGTCGGACTGGCTATCAGAAGCACCTGGAAGTTTTCTGTATTATTCCGGTCAAGTGGATGGATACCGGATGGAAACACGACTCAATCCTGGTTTTCCAGATTAAGGATTTTCCGCCCTCTGGTGGACCGAAGCTGTTACTATAGGCATAGATATCATATATAATATTAGCTAATATATATGATATATCTGACTATATTAGCTAATATATATTATATATCTATGACTATAGATAGCGTTTATAAAGTTAAACACATTACTCATCAACGCTTCCTGTAGAGTCCTTCAAAATAAGACACCACTTCAAATTACAACTGGTTTAAATTTGTGTTAACAGCATACTTGTTATTGTGACAGTTTAGCGTTCTGTCACAGTGTCCCGATTGATCATGCGCCTTGGCTATGACTATTATGGGGTGCCATTTGTAAAGTCAAACAGTCATAATCTAACAGCAATATTTTTGGTTATTTAGCATATCATAAGAGAAAAAATTGGGAGTTCACTTTTTCAAAGTCATATTTTCACCAAGTTATTCATACATTTATAAATGTTAAAGTTTCCAAATATATATTTAGTTAGCAAGCTAAATATTTAATTTATAGTCAAATATTTATTTTTGCAAACTATATATTTAGGTCTGATCTAAATATTTAGTTTGTAAAATAAATATTTGATTCACTAACTAAATATTTAATTTACTAATTAAATATTTATTTTGGAACTAAATATTTAATTTGTAAATTAAATATTTATTTTCCAAAAAAATATTTAGATCCCAGCTAAATTTTTATTTTGGAGCTAAACATTTCGTTTGCAAAATCAGTATTTGGAATATGAATATTTAAGTCTGACCCAAAAATATTAAATATAGTGTGGAGCTAAATAACATTGTGGGAAATAAATATTTAGCTGGTACTTAAACATTTAGCTAATATGCAAATTCTCTTGCCAATAAGCGGAAGTTGTTACCAAAATAAAAGCTGGATCTCGCTAACCTCTTTATAAACTCTTGCTCCGAACCAGAACTTGTTTTATCTTCGGTTCTATTCTTCTTCAGCCAACACGTTGGACATGTTCAGAAGAATATTTATTTCCCAAATACTGATTTTGCAAACTAAATGTTTAGCTCCAAAATAAATATTTAGCTGGGATCTAGATAATTTTTCGGAAAATAAATATTTAATTAACAAATCAAATATTTCGTTCCAAAATAAATATTTAATTAGTAAATTAAATATTTAGTTAGTGAATTAAATATTTATTTTACAAACTAAATATTTAGATCAGACCTAAATATTTAGTTAGCAAAATAAATATTTAACTATAAATTAAATATTTAGCTTGCTAACTAAATATTTATTTGGAAACTTTAACATTTATAAATGTATGAATAACATGGTGAAAATATGACTTTGAAAAAGTGAACTCCCAATTTTTTCTCTTATGATATGCCAAATAACCAAAAATATTGCTGTTAGATTATGACTGTTTGACTTTACAAATGGCACCCCATATATGACTGTGACTCTCACCTGGGAGTCAGGGGATCGAATCCCGCCCAGGCCCTCGCCTCTTCACCCTGCCACATTATCACATATTGTTTTCACTTATACTAACTACGTCACTACTAAAACTAAATAAAGCTGTTAAGTATCTGTGTTCAACAAGATAAAATGATCAGTGAGCTAAAGCAGGAACAACTATTAGCAGCTAGCCACTGCTAGAAGCACATCTGATAATGAGCCCTCTGGTGGCCACAGTAGGCTCGGGGGGTTTATTCAAATAAATTATTACTAAATCATATAAAATTATTGTTTTTAAGTTACAAAATAGTTTATAGTTTCTAACCAAACATGTTGGATACGAAACTGAGTTTTGAGTTCAAAGAGCTATGTGAACCCTACATCACACATTCAGATGCTGAAACATAGATATTTTTTAATGAATTCCAAAGTGTTTGATCCTAGCCCACATAAATACTGACAGCATTTAGCCCAGATTGTAACATTAGTTAAATATATTTCCTGGTGAGATTTGGCCTACTGTCTGCTATAAGCTTACTAATTTAAAAGACATGTGTTCTGCAGTTTAAATAAAGATAAAATTCAAGTGAAAAAAAATGTTTTCCACATTTAATCATTTTCTTTGAGGTTTTGCTCATAATTAATTAAATTGTGTTGTTTTTTTACTTGGCACTGTGATTGCAGCCCTGTAAATAGCTGAAAATACTTGATTCATCTCCAAATACACTTTGTCTATTGGTCATCACACAGTCTCATATGATTGGTCTTCACTGCAATCTGACGTTTTGTATAATCTGAAGGGTTTACCTGGCGTTGAGGAGATTGGCATCACAAACTATGTTGTCCTGCAGACTTCTTTATGCTGCAAGCCAAATCAAAGTGTTCCAAATGCAAATATGCATGTTTTACCTAATAAAAGGGGTTTTATTTATATTTGTATGAATCCGGACATAAAAAAAATCTCAGAAAGGTATGTAATTTATCTATTGGACTTTTCAGGAAAGACAGGTGACCTTGTGAGAACAGGTGGAAGACAGAAATGTTAAAAATGTCAAAAATCCAAGTTTGGAAACCCCGTTCTCCTCCTCCTCCCCCTCCATATTATCAATACTCACCAGGTTAAGAATTTCCCACAGCTTCATTGAAATAAGGAGGCTAATGTTGTAAGCACTCAAAATGTAGGAGTGTGTCCAGAAGCAGCTGGGAGTGTGTGTGTACAGAAGCACCTGAAGGGGTGTGTCCAGAAACACCTGGAGGGGTGTGTGTCCAGAAGCACCTGGAGGGGTGTGTCCAGAAACACCTGGAGGGGTGTGTGTCCAGGAGCAGCTAGGGGTGTGTGTGTATGTCACACAGATTAATGACTACTTTTTCAGCTTTAGAAGCTGGAGGTGTGGTGAGAGAGAATGTAGAGACACTGGTGAGTTGGCAAACCAGTTTCATTGCTTGAAGGAACCGACGACTACCTTCCATGAGTTTTAAACTAAATTTATTTTAAGTTTGTAAAGTTTTGGTCCCTTTGTTGTTCACTTTAAAAAAGGCAAAAAGCGTTTTTCACATTTTAATGATTCAAATTTACAGACGAGCTTTTCAAGAAAACACATCATGAGTTTGTAAGGCATGCATGAACATATATACAAATATGTTTTCCATTACAGCAGCTTTTAGGAGCGGTTTGCTTTCCATACAGTGCACAGGCCATGACAGACAAACAGCAGATTTATGGCTCATTTTCTCTTAAATACATTTCCTCACAGAAGCAAAAGTTCAAATCTCGATGATGTTCTACGGTTCCATGCAGGATGCTGAACTTTAAAGCGGTCATACATGGCCGACTTCTTCTTAACTGGTCCTTATACTGCTGTCTGGGCGGGTGATCTACCTTTACACTCACATTCAAAATTAAAACAAACAATGTGTAAATATAAGGCATTAACACCTTACTGTTTCCAAAGTTTGGATGAGATAAAATGGAACAGTTTGAATACTGAAAGTTTTATAAAGAATATTTTAGTTTTTTTTAAACCAACCAAACATTTGTGTATAAAATCTTTTCCTCTACAAGTTCCAGAAATGTGAATGAAACTAAAACCAGAGGTTTTGACACTGATTTGCTCTTTAAGTAGCATTTGTTTTTTCTGTTTCAGTTTTCTGTAGAAGGCTGATAACGTGGATTTGATAAACAAAAACTTATCTGAATTATGAATTAAACAGTTGAAGGTGTAAGGCAGAAGGTCCCTCAGAAGCACAACAGGAGCAGGATTAAAACATCCATCTTCACAGGATGAAACCTGATCAGAAACAGATGAAATTTAAACATTTACAGAGACAGAAGCTGTAGAAGCTTCAGTAAACCAGCAGATGATGGATTACCCGTTACGTCACGTTCTGAATCAGCCCTTTCTCCGGGTCGTGTTTGTCATCCAGATCCTCGTCAGAGTCTGAGGAGGAAGAAGGAAATAACAGAAAAGGAGGTTAAAATAAAACCTCTGTAAGTTAGGGGTTGTATCAACTAGTCGACTTCACTGCTCTGTAGTGACTTTTTATGCTTGTCATAGACTAGTCGCTGTCACGTGATAATGACCGACAAGATGCAGTCCTCGGAAAAGATAGCAGGTGACGAGCCCCTGCGCGTTGGGAGGCGACGCGCTGTGCCAGAGCGTCGGTACTGACACCCGCCGTAAAACGGACATTTAACCAAATTGTTACCTTTACCCTTTTGCAATTTAACCTTCCCCTCACCCCCATCCTAACCTTAACCAGCTTGTGCATGCAAAGCTCTGATCGTTGACGCGCTCCAGACATCTGCGTCCTGAGCACGGCCACAGTAACATTATCAAATCAGGTGTCGCCACCTCAAAAACTAATTTAACACGTGATCATTCATGTCGGCTCATTTCCTTTTATGTTTTCTGTCTTTCATTTGTGCCTGATGCTTTGCGCTGCTGTGGAGCAGGGCACATCACCTGTTTTGTCATCCGGTGATTTCACCTCACCGGTGCGGCCGGCAAGCACTCCGCTGTTTTTGCGGTCGGTAGATCTTTTAGAACTGCAGTTCAAAGGTAACTCATAAGGTGAATATATATGAACCCAGGTAGCAGTTTTTCTTTAGGATTGAGAGGAGATGCAGGAAGATAATAAACAGGCAGGACAGAAAAATAGTCAAATAAAAACAAGTTAGTTTTTGTACTTGCTGGTTGCAACAACTAGACACCATTGAAGATCAGAAGTGAGGAACAGAAAATGAAATAATTATTTTAATGTTTAGAGCAGCAGGAACTCCGAGAGGCTGCAGGCGCATCAGTGAGTTTGCGGCCGCTGCGCAGGGGGAGGGGGGAGAGGGCTGAAGCAGAAACTACTGTTGTTAAAAGAGATGTGCTTAACTTTGAAAATGTGGGTGCAATTTTAATTGTCAAAAACTCCAGCGAAGCAACCGACCAACCAACCCCCACCCCCACTCCCGTGCGTCAAAAAAAAAAAAGCTTGGTCACCCATCGTCAGTTTTAGCCGCTTCAGGTGTATGACGTCATCAGCGACTAGTGGAAGTCGACTCGATTTTCATTACTTGACGGTCGACTTAAAAAAATATTAAGTCATGCAGCCCCTACTGTAAGTAAAGGTGGCTCGGGCGTGTCCCGCCACACAGATGTAGTAGTAGTACAGTTTGTGAGACGTGGTCAAGCTCCCCTTGCTCTGCTGCCTGTTTGGATCTTCATGATTAAAATTATTTAACATCAATTCCTAATAAAAGAAACTAATAAATCCAACAACTTCTGGTGTTTATTTTATTTTTTATTTATTCTTTTTTTAACAAAGAAAGTCCCATTGAGATTACAAACCTTATTTTCAAGGGAGTCCTGGCCAAGAGGCAAAGACCATGAGAGTTGGAGCTTCTGCGTGATGATTTAAATTTGAATGTAAGCCAGATGGAAGTGTGAGATGCCTTTAGAGAGGACAAACCTGCCAGAGACTCCGGCGGAGAGTAAAACTGTCCTTCAGAAACCGGACCAGGACCAATGAGAGGAGGGCGCTCTGTGGCGTCAACAAACGACTTGTATCCTGTAAAACACACACACACACGCACCTCTCAGAGACACAAGTATACAAAAGCTACACAACCAGGAAGTAAGACTCACGGTTTTCATCAGCAGCTTCCTGAGGAAGGACCTTAAAGTCGAGTAGCCATGTCTCAATCCAGGCCAACACGAAGGAGATGATGGGTAGCAGATACCCGAAGGCCCCCTGAGCCAGCAGCTGCACACACACACACACACACACACACACACACACACACACACACACACACAGGAATATGAATGTATTTGTTGTAACATTCATAAATTAAAGGTTTGTGAGAATATCATCCAGATCCAAACTCAAACACATTTAAGATGAAAATTCTATTCATAAAAAGCATTCTCACAGTTTGGAAAAACCACTGATAAAAATATTAATTCATTAAAGACAACAAGAAATTTTTTAATCCTTTCTGCAGTTTTGTATTCATTTGAAGGAATAAAGAATTTTTATTTACCCCTATACACATTTTTTTCCCACACCGAGATAAATGGAGTAAAATCTGTCAGCCTGCAGGTCAAAAGGTTAAACATGTTTGTTTGGAGGTGTAAGTAAAAAACTCACCTTTGGTAAAATGACTTTAACAATCAAGAATGCACAGGTGACTGTAGTGGTTATCTGCACAGAGATAGAAGCTTGTTTTATTTGCATGTTCACTCTGAGTTCCAGTCTAGCTGGTTGTAACTGAGGTAAACGTGTAGAAAAGGGTAACTCCTGGAGCTTTTTATGAAAGAAACTGATTATTAATGTAGGAGATTGTGTAATAATTGTAATAAGAATGAACGTTTGATTAAAACAAAACATTTAATGAACAGAAACATCAACCTGGGTAGCAGATAAACACCAGTGAACATGCAGGAAACCCCTACATTTAAACATAGATAACTAATAAGATGTTTCTGCCTTTAATAGCTAATAAACATTACTTACTGCGATTGCCCACCAGTGGCGCAGCTTGCAGATGGCGTAAGCCAGGATGAGGGCTGCAAACCTGAAGACGGCCAGCAGCTGAGAGGAGACAAAAGAGAGGAAATTATATATAAAATAAATTAATTCAACAGGACGACACATGATGGTTTAAAAGTCTTACAAAGATGTCAAAGAAGGAGGCGTGGAAGTCATAGTGCAGGACTTCTTTCTCCAGCTGCGTCTGAACGCTGCCGCTCGCCTGTCAAACACAAACAAAATCCTTTAAACCTCTAAATTAAACTTCTGAGGATTTGACGTGCAGCTGGAGTCAGAAACAAGACCTTTCTCTGCTCTGGTGATAATCCAGACATCTAAGTTTGACCTGAAACAACTCTGCTCTGTCTTCACCGGGGTCTCGTGGATGCCGGCTTCAGAGATGTACTGCAGCGTTGGAAATGTCCAACAAAGTTATTTGTCCACAGCAAGGTCAGAGGTCAACAGACAGACGTGTCCAGCAGTTCTCCTACCAGGACTATTGTGTGCTCCTCCGTACAAAACAGTCTCCTGTTTTTCTTCTCTAGTCTTGCGGTTTGGGAAGACAATCAAAACAATTCCATCGTCTGACTTCTTCTCTGCAACTATTTACATGCTGCTGCAACTCCAAGGTCCCACAGGAGACGAGACTTCAATCTTTTAATAAAACGATTCTTATTTTGTCTCATAAATGATTTATTTCAGTCCACAGGTTGTTTACAATCGTATTCTGTGTTATCTACGATGAATGTTCTATATAGTGATTTAATAACTAACATAAATGTTTATTATTTCATGACATATTTCAGATCTTAAATACACTAAATGTGTCTACTTGATGATTTAATAATGATTTATTATCAGTTACATTCACATGTTAATGTCAGTATTTTAACAAATGAATATTTAACAGATTTACTCCACAGTAAGTGAGATCAGCCTCTTCTGAGTGCCTGAGGAATGGGTCAGGGTTAGACACCTGAGGGTCTTGGTGAACGCCTATCCACATTTCTCAGATCTGGTTAGTCAGAGTTTATAAATAAGCACTTGTTAAAAGTGATCTCACTTCCTATTTTCTCCCGTTCCAGCCAGAGCTCACAGCTCATGCTAAATTACCATCGTATGAGGAATCCACCTGATTTTTCAGTGGAATAATGTTAGCGTCTTAAAGAACCATCCTTTTAGATAGATCACCTATTATTTGCTCAATCCACCACCCACTCTTCAGACGTGAACCCGTCCACCAGAAGCCACCTGGGAAGTATCTGCTGACCAGTCGTGCGTATGCCGACGGAGCCTGCGATCTTAAGATACCTCGGAAGCCCACTCACTCACTCGGCAAGACGGCCTTGCTTGCAGACCGGATCTCCAAGAACTTCCACTATCCTGGTTCAATGGCGTCAGAGCGGCTGAGATTCATTTGACAACTTGTTAAATTAAATCAAACAAACAACCAAATTTATTTTATAAACCCAGACATCACACCTTTCTGAGCCACTTAATGAAGCTCTTAAACATACAAGGTCATGTTCATTCACTCTCTCATTTAATATCACTTTAAATTTATAATCATTTGTTACCATTAATATAAAAATAAACTGATTTTTATACATTTTATTTTAGTTTCTGTGTCAAATTATTATAAAGTGTTTTTTACCTGGTGTTACATAAAGTACCTGGTTTCATCATCAGTCAAATATTAAAGGCTCAATAACATTTTTATGGATTATTACATTTTATCGAACACCTTTATATTCTATTGAAAATTTATTTAAAGTAACTAATTACAAAGCGTTACAGTACTTAAAGATTGTTTTAAGTCTGTACATATTGTAAATGAGAACAGTCCTGTGTCTTTATGTATAACTGTTTCATCTTATTTTAACTTGTGTGTCTTATCTGTTTCTCTTTGGTATAAAGTTAACTATGAGTGGCAAGGTGGAGAAACGAGGGCCCGGGCGGGATTCGATCCCCAGACTCCCGGGTGAGAGTCACGCACGCTAACCAGTCAGCCAAAGGGACACCCCCTTGGCCAAGTAGCCAGGGCGCGTGATCAGTCGGGACACTGTGACAGGACACTCACACTGCCACATGTTTCTGTCGCTGCTGCCTCTTGGCCAGAACATCGTTGTAAATGAGAATGAGTTCTCAATCGACTCATCTGGTTAAAAAAAATAATTACATCACTTCTGTCAGAAAAGTAAAAACCTGAAACACTTCCTGTCACCAGGAGAGAAAAGAAGACTTGAGTGTTTTATTCCAACTTTATCCAATAAAATGATGTAAAATATGAAACTGGACTTTGTTCTTAGCCTCTCCTAAAAGTCAAACACAATAAACAATCACCAGGTAAACAAAGCTGCTCCTTCAGCTCCAAAAAGCTACATTTAAATGTGCAAGAAGAAGATTTTTCACAAATATGGGAGAAAAAAAGCCTTCAGCTGTTTATTCTCATGCTGTCTGAAGCTAAAATCCCCAGCTGAATCATCCAGGTGACACAAACACCTGTCAGGTGAGCTACTGGTTCGTTCAGAGGCATGCTGATGAGCTTCACAGTGGAACTTTCCCAGAAAGTGTAGGTAACTGGTTTATTTAGGGAAGTCTGCAGCAGTAAAACTAAAGCACTTCCTGAATCAGATCTCAGCTGCCTGACCTCCATCTACTCGTGTTATTTGTGGAGATAAAACATCAACGTTGCAAAACGGTGGAGTCACGTTGCTGTTAGCCAATCAGAAACAAGATGTTTCAATATCAAAAAACAAGAGAGCCTCTTTAATAAGAGTAAAAGACCTAATGACAACATGGAGCCACAGAGCCAAACTTACATTGAGCTCTATGATCCAGAGCAAGGTGATGAACAGGAGGTCAAAGGTGACAAAGAGGCAGAAGGTCCTCCTCACGTCAGAGATGCACTTCTTCCCTGCCACCTCGTACGACTCCACCCGGCCAGAGACGGGCGTGGAGATGACTGAGCCCACCTCCTGACTGGTGAAACGCGAATCAAAACTGCTGCATCTGCTGTCCATCGCTGGCCACTGCTCAACCATCAGAAAGAGCTCTCAGAATCAGGGGTCAGGGGTCATTGGAGCAGGAAGCAGGGCAGGATTTGTAGACTCAGTCCGTTTGGGTCGACTGCATCTGCAGCAGGGACAAATCTGGAGTTTAGATCCAATTAGTGTGGTGAAATAAGAAAATTTAACCAGACATTTGTTTGTGCTGCAAGCTAGGAACAAGTTTTTTCATAATTAGACTAAATAAAAGCCGATTATTCTAGAAAACTAACGGATAACAAGGTAAAATGTTCGGAGATGTGGTTTTAACTAAGCACATCCAGACATTTAGTTCATTATTATTAGGGATGTGTATTAGTGTAATTCTGGCAATACGATGCGCATCACGATACAGGTGAGACGATACAATACATCACGATATATTTCTTAAACCTCAAACCACTTGAGCAACAATCCCTTCATCTCAGTAAAGCATATTAAATATTTTTTATTTAACAAAACTAGAAAAAATGAAAGTTTCTCTGTAAAAGAGCTGCAGCTTGAGCATTGTTACAGAAGTGAAACTCTCTGTACTTTGGCGCAATCATCCTGCTACAGAGCAGCTAAACACAGACGTGTGATTTCACCTCACAGCTGATCCGGTAGCTGCAGGAAAGTTTCTGGTTTTAAACTCGAGTCAAACGTTTGCTTTTTTACTTTATTTTCAATCTTTAAAAGGCTGAAACACAGAAAAACTTGGTGGAAACACCTGAGCTTCCAAGTTTTATACATAAACTAAAATGTAAAGATGATGTCCAGAAACAGACATTTGCTGATAATTTGAAGTCATGACGCACCCGTAGGTCACCGCCAGTTGAGTCATAAAAACGTTTAAATATTAACCTTACAGACAGACGTACAGTGGATCCACTGTTCGCCATAGACTAATATTAGATTATGTTATGTTGTCTGATAAACAGAAGTAAAGCAAAGCTCCTGCACCACTGAGAATGATTTGCCCTTCATCCTTTTCTATTTGTGAGTTTATTTAAATAACTAAAAGACAGACAACAAGAAGAAAAACCTTTCACAGCTTGAGATGTAATTTTTAAACAGCATCGTCATTTTCAAATCTCTAAGCTGGGACGATTTTGAACCGATGTGAACCAGAGAAAAACACCAATAGAGGTCAGAGGGTTAGGGTTAGGTTTACATAATTTTATGTCATTTTCTGTGTGGTTTTTCCATTTTTAACACCTATAAGAGAGCTTTTAGTCCTTGCATGGTTTTAGCTCTTAGAGGTCAGAATCATTGGCTTGTCTCACCTCCTGTGTCAGAGCTGGACCTGGGGATATGATGCTTTTACTGTTACACTAATACTCTGCTTTTAAACCAACACTCTCAGGTTAAATTATGTAAATCAAGATGAACAAAAGCAGAAGCCTAACTGGTTTGACAAAAAAATCCCTTTTAACGACTGATGACCATAACTGGATTGTCGAAATAATGAAAGAAGAATAGCGTAAGAAAACAACAGTTATCACGTCACAAAACTGACATTTAATTTAATTATCTTTATCAGTTTTGTATGATGACATTACCAGTATCATATAAAGGCGATTGATGACACCTTTTAATTAAAAAAAAAACATTTATTTGTTGTTGTCGTCTGATAAACATTAAAATAACTTTGAACTGAAACTACAATAATATCTTTAACACTGTTTACCATCATGTAATAAATATGTTATGTATGTATAAATAGCTGTAGGATACGTTATATCTGGCTCGAAGGCATCAGAATTACATTAAAGTCAATGTAAAGCTCGCAAAGAGCAACAAAACACACGGCTTGCTAACAAGGCTAAAAAAAGGCCAAACAAAAAAACGCTAAAAAACACACACACACACACAAATGTATCCTTACAACACACACCAGACCCGCTTAGCTTGGTATGTAAGTAAACAACAAGAAGACGCGCTGACAAAAAGGTAAAAGAATCACAAATCAGATGCGACGCTGTTGTGTTAACCTGCATCACTGAGTTCATTTGACAACAAGCTAGCAAAAACAGCTGCGCTAAATAGCAAATTGAAGCCGTATTAAATCGTTGTTGCGATTCTTACCTCCCAATGTCACGAAAGGAAACGTTTATATTGTCATGAAATACCAAAAAGACAAATCTGTGAAATTAAGTGTTCAAACATGAGCCTCGGGGAAGCGGACAAAGCTTCTGTTTCCTGTTCTGTTCTGGTCTGACCCTTTGCATCGACGTCACCTAATCACGTGGGTCCACCATGCTGGACGGCAAAAGCATGTAAACAGTGAGCGACAGGAGTACTAAACAAAGGGAAAAGTAGAGCCTGAAATTGTTTTTGCGATCAAAACAAACTCCTCCAGCATTCCTTCAACTAGTTCATGCCCAGTTCAGTTATCAGAGGGGGTGGCGCATCTAGCCGGGGCTCATAGAGAGCGGTATGTTAACTAGCTTACCAACGTTAACGTTCTCTCTGCAGCTGTTCACCGATGCAAACATGTTGCCAACTTTGCCTAAATTCACCCCGCTGGATTTGTAACATTATGCTATAGACAGCGTTTCACTTTATACCAAAGCTGATTTTTTAAAAGTCCGAATCCCTACCAGCTTCTGTTGCTGGTGGTGTAACAGGTGTTGTGCCAAAAAGCGACTGGCTGCCAAAAAATGATTAGCCACCGCGGGATCGCGCACGGTTAGGGTAATTGCATTTCTAGATGAAATTCCCCGGGATTTCGCCTTAAAACTCAGCATATCTAGCAATATGGACATTGAGAAAGCAGAGATAACCTCTTCCGGTACTTAAACAGATGTTTTTTCCAGTTCGGAAGTTGTTTTAGGTGTTGCTATTTGTCTTAAACGTTCACAGTGAGGATATATTAATCCTTTTTGCAATATTTGCGATTGAAAGATTGTTTGTGGTAAGAACTGGCTTTCTTTATGTTATAGCCTTGATACTAAAAAATAAACAGTGTAAAATGGTGCCCTGTATTGAATGTAAAGTCAAACGTTGTATAAATGGAAATAAACAATTCTCCAGCGAATTGATAATTCTCCAGCGATTTGATTTTGTTTGTTTGGTTTTAACCCCTTTTTGCTTGCATTCGTTTGGATTCGTTGGAGTTTTAAACTGTGGTAGTTTTTAGCTCTTGGTGATAAGTTTTTTTTAAAGGTTAACTGTATTTGGTGCAATTTTACTGACTTTGGTTTTTAAACACCTTCGTGTGGTAAAGCTTTTAAAATAAGCTTTTACCAGGTGTTTTAATCAGTAAATTGTTTGGGACTTTTTATCAACTTTGGGATTTTAAAACACCTTCTGCTCTGTTAAACTTTTAATATAAGTTTTAACCAGGTGTTTTATAGTTGATAATTTGCTGTGTAATGTTAACCTTTTTAGAGAGATCTTTTTGCTTGTGTTTTAATACCTTTTTGTTACAAATAAACCCATTTTAAACTCCTCTGCCAGTTCTTATGTTACCCCTGTAGTGATACCTATGGTGGCTCTGCCCACAAGGGGGCAGTATTAGATAATCTATTTAAGGGTAGAGGTGAGCACTGATGAGAGAATGATGTACAGCTGGAGAAGGAACACAATAAACATATTTTGTGAAGAACCTGAAACTTGGTGCATACTTCCAGAAACATTACATGGTACCAGGAGTGGGGTGCTGCCATGGATAGTGTACGGCCTCCAGAAGCTGTTGTCTGGACTGGAAATGTGGATTGTGAATGGCGTTCGTTCAAGCAACGCTTCATGCTGTATTTGCAGGCTGTTGGCCTGGATAACAAGCCTGATGTTCGCAAGATTGCTTTGTTGCTTACAGTGGCAGGACCCCGCGCTGTGGAGGTGTTTAATACCTCTGTCTTTGAGGATGAGGAGGACCGACACAAGTTTGACGTTGTGTTGCAGAGGTTTGATGATCACTGCTCACCGAAGAAAAATGAGACATTCGAGAGGTACGTGTTTCGTGCACGTTTGCAGCAGCAGGATGAAAGCTTTGATGTCTTCCTGACGGATTTGAAGTTAAAGGCACGGACGTGCAATTTTGGAATTCTTCAGGATTCGCTGATCAGAGATCAAGTTGTGTTTGGAATACATGATACAAAAGTGAGAGAAAAGCTGCTGAGAGAGACTGATCTTACGTTGATTAAAGCTGTGGATATTTGCCATGCGTGTGAAATAGCCCGGCACCATGTGAAAGCTTTTGGTGATGGAGCGGGGGAGCGGGGAATGGAGCCTGATGTTGCAGCTGTTTCATGCCAACGGAAATGTGGACAGGACAAGGAGAGGTCGTTTTCCTGTCGAAGATGTGGGACGCGACATGCACTGAGACAATGTCCCGCATTTGGCAAGAAGTGTAACAGCTGTAAAGGACTTAATCATTTTTCCCAATATTGCTTTTCTAAAAAGAAGCCTGAAAAGCATGATCCTGTACACACTGTGGAAGAAGCTTCCCTGAGCGAGACTTTCTTTGTGGGTCTTGTGGAACGTGATGCTGACGTGTCTCCATCTGCTGTGACGTGCGGCGTGAAGGTGGATAAATGGACAGTGCCACTGCATGTGAATGGAACTTTTTCCTGTGAAGTTGGACACTGGGGCGAAGGCTAATTTGATAAATGAGCGTGATATTGAAGCCATGGATGTGAAACCGCTCATTCGTCTGGCATCTAGCACCCTCAAAGCCTACAATGACCAATCCATCGTCACCAAAGGCAGGTGTACTCTCACAGTACACGTTAAAGGTAAAGAACACGACTTGGAGTTTATAGTTGTGCCGGAAGGTCATGATTCTTTGATAGGAGATGAAGCATGTGAACGGCTAGGTTTGGTCCATAGAGTGTATCATGTCAACGGGGATCCGCACAGCAGCGCAGAAACTATTGTTGGCCAATACCCGGATGTATTTGAGGGTTTTGGGGCCTTGCCCTACACATATAAGATACATCTCAAGGACAATGCCAGACCTGTTGTTCATGCTCCTAGGCGAGTTCCGGGTGCCCTGAGGTGCAAACTGAAACACGAACTCGACCGGATGACCCTGTTGGGAGTCATACGGAAGGTGGAGGCTCCGACTGAGTGGGTTAATTCCATGGTTTGTGTCAAGAAGCCTAATGGTGACCTGAGGATCTGTATGGACCCTAAGGATTTAAATGATAACATCAAAAGGGAACATTACTTACTTTCTACCAGAGAGGAAATTGTAAGTGAGATGTCTGGTGCTTTTCCCATTATTTTCTAAATTGGATGCATCTCATGGGTTCTGGCAGATTAAGTTGGAGGATGATAGCTCCAAATTATGTACTTTTAATACTCCCTTTGGGCGGTACCAGTTTCTGAGGATGCCATTTGGAATTACTTCAGCCCCTGAAGTGTTTCATAGAACTATGGAGTACATCCTTGAAGGGCTCGACGGGGTACGGGTGTATGTGGACGATATCATCATCTGGGGGGCAACTGTGGAGCAACATAATGAAAGACTCGTTAGAGTACTACAGAGAATCCGGGCAAATGGGCTGAAACTGAATAAAGCAAAATGCCAGTTCGGTGTCAGAGAAATAGTTTTCCTTGGAGACCAACTGTCTGGGGCAGGTGTCAAGCCAGATGACAGGAAAATTAAAGCAATACTGGAGATGCCATGTCCTGCAGATAAAAAAGTGGTTCTCCGAGCCCTTGGAATGATTAACTTTGTTGGAAAGTTCATTCCCAATCTGTCTTCGAAAACATTGCACCTGAGACAGTTGCTGCATGAGAAACAGGAGTTCTCGTGGACTGGTGATCATGATGATGAGTGGAAGCAACTTAAACACATCCTTACCTCTGAACCAGTCCTGATGTTTTATGATCCCCAGAGACAGACAAAGATTTCCACAGATGCATCGACCCATGGGATTGGAGCCGTGCTCCTGCAGCATGATGGGGATGGCTGGAGACCAGTTGCTTATGCATCACGAGCGATGACTGCGGCTGAGTGTCGTTATGCACAGATTGAAAAGGAGTGCTTGGGACTTGTGTATGGTTTTGAGAAATTCCATAACTTTGTGTATGGTCTCCCCAGGTTTTTGGCTGAAACGGATCACGAGCCTTTGGTATCCATTGTAAAAAAAAAAAATCTTAGTGACATGTCACCCCGCCTTCAAAGGCTCATGATGAAGCTTCTCAGTTATGATTTTGAGCTCATCTACACACCAGGGAAACAGATTGTTTTTGCTGATGCTCTGTCCAGGGCTGTTCCGCTGCATGGTGCCCAGAACGTGGGTTCCATTCAGTTAGATGTGGAGGTCCATGTGGATATGATTAAAGAGTCCCTTCCTGTGACTGACAGAAAGTCTAAGCGGATTGCTGATGAAACTGCCAAGGTTGAGATCCTCCAGAGAGTTATGAATAAACTGCAGGGTGAATGGCCAAAAGGGGAATGTCAGCAGTACTTTAACATCCGAGCAGAGCTGAGTGTCGTTGATGGACTTCTACTCAGAGGACAGAGGATAATAATTCCAACGTCTATGAGACCTGAGATTCTGCAGAGGCTGCATGAGGGGCATCTGGGCAGGGAAAAGTGTAAAAGACGAGCCAGGTCAGCGGTTTATTGGCCAGGAATCAACACTGATATTGACAGAATGGTTTCAGGATGTGGGACCTGTCTGAAGTATCACATGACACAAACCAAGGAGCCGATGGTGCTCACCGATCTACCTGAAGAGCCTTGGCACAAGGTGGGGACTGATTTGTTTCATTTGGATGGAAGACATTACTTATTAGTTATTGACTATTATTCCAATTATCCGGAAGTGGTGGTCCTCCCCAATATTTCTGCTGTCACTGTAATTTCGTCTTTGAAATCAATTTTTGCCCGACAGGGGATCCCTCATGTTGTGTACAGTGACAATGGACCGTGTTACAGCTGCCAAGAGTTTCATGAGTTTGCTGTGGATTATGACTTCCTGCATATCACCTCGAGCCCTCTGTTTCCTCAGTCGAATGGGAAGGCCGAGAAGGGGGTCCAGATCGTGAAACATCTTCTCAGGAAGGCGAAAGACAGCCATGCTGACCCCCATTTGGCTCTATTGAATTATAGAGCTTCACCCCTTGAACATGGTGTGTCCCCTGCTGAACTTCTGATGGGACGAAGATTGAGGACCACTCTCCCATTCCGTGATGCCCATGGGGTACCCCAGGATCTGGGGTTCCAAAGAAGGTCTCTGCAGCTGAGACAGAAGAGGAACTATGACAAGTCAACCAGATCACTGGAGCCGCTGGTCCAGAATGATACAGTGAGAGTTGGGGATTCTGGTCGCTGGAGTAGGAGAGCTGCTGTTTTGGGGACAGTTGGTCCTAGAT